TCGCGCTGCTTGCTGTAGCCGGTGCGCGGTGGGGGGCTGGCTAGTGGCTGGGGCAGGGCGGGGGAGCACGCCCCTCACCGGTCGCCTTCCCAGGGACAGTCTGGGCTGGGAACTCCAGACGTGCGCAGGGCTGCAGTGTGGGGAGGGGCTCGAGCTGTGTGTGGAGCCCTGTGTGAACGTCGATAGGTGCCTGGTGTGGGGCGCAGGGCACACCGGGTGTGTCTGGGAACCCCAGGTGTGCGCGAAGAGGAGATTGAGCGAGTGCCGGTGAGGGGCTGCATGCTTGGCCCTGTGCTTGTGGAAGCGTAGAGTGGGTGGTAGGCTTTGGGTTCCAGGTGTGTGCAGAGGTGAGAGCCACAGGTGGTGCGGCTTGGCTTCAAGGAGTCATCTCTACCTGTCCCAGGTAAAGGAGCTCGAGGCTTTGGACGGGGAGCCCTGATCCGCCTGCAGGTCTGGCCGGCCGCCCGCGGGGGCTGTGAGCACCTGCAGCACTGTGAAAGTTGTGTGGGGGCACCCCCGGAGCACAACCTCTCGGGCTGCGTGTGGGAGCAGTGTCCGCCAGAGGAGCCAGGTATGTGGGGGCTGCCTCAGCTCTCAACCAGGCCTGGGCCCCTCCCGAACTCCTGCAGCACCTTCTCCCTCCAGGACACTGCGTGGCGGGAGCGGAGGTGCTCAAGGAAGCCTGCACTGTCTACAGCCGCTCAGAGCTGTGTCCAGGTACAGCGAGGCAGGCTGGAGGGCGGCCAAGGGCTCCCCAGAAGGAGCCAGCTGTGGGAAGCGGGCAGGGCTGGTCTGACCGCGGCCACAGCTCACTGAGAAGTTGGGCCGCTCCCTGGCCTCTTCTTCCCCAGGACTGGCACGGGAGCTGCGTGGGGGGCACTGGCTCTGTTCTAAGTCAAGGCAGTGAGAGCCCTAGACGTTCACAGGGGGGTGGAGGGGCATCCTGGAGGAAGTGGGGTCAGAGGAGAGCTGAGTGAGGGTGTCTGTGGACATCTGTTTGGCGGTGGCCAGTCTGGAGCCGGGACCCTCCAGGGTGTCGGGTTCTGACGCTGAAGCCCAGCTTTTGGGCAGGACTGGTCTTGAAGGCAGTGGGTGGGTGAGGGCTGCTCATTATGGACTTCCTGTCTTCCCAGCTGCCCATCACCCCACCTACGAGCCAGAGGCGGTCACGACAGGTGGGTTCTGCCTGGTGGAAGGTGCTGGGGCCCACCATGCAGGGGAGGCCCTTCTGGGCTCGGGCCGGACTTCCTGTGACTGCAGCCCTCCGCCTTCTCCCTGGACCCCACTCGTGTCCCATGAGGCTGTCACAGGCCCGCATGTCTCCATGGCTGCAGAGTGGGCTGGGTAGCGCCGACGTCCCAAGATCACAGGGAGGCCGCACAGCAGCCCCCAGTGTCTGGCAGTGCAGGTGCCTGGGAAACGGGGTTCCCCTCTGTCTCCTCCCTGTCTTGAGCATTTGGGGACCTCTCAGGACCTGTCTGTGGGGCTATGGGCGTGTGGCTCGGGTTGTGAGTGAGGCGTCCTCAGCGAGGACCTGCTGACCTCTGGGCCCAGCAAGGGCCTAGAGTGGGTGTCCCAGAGCAGAGGCAAGGGCCGCCTAGGTGCTGACTGCCCTAGGTCCCACCGCCCCTCGGCCTGGAGGTCAGCAGGCTTGGCAGGGCAGCCAAGAGCCTCTTGGTTAATTAAAGCCGGAACCCGATCTTGGAGGCTGAATAATTGATGGGTCTGCGCCCCCGCCAAGCCCAGCCCCGCCTGTGTGGCCCATTCCCTCCTCCTCTGCTCTTCCATTCCCAGGGTCTATCTTCTGTCCTTCTCGGAGTGCCCTTTGCCCTCCAGATCTCAGACCCCCTCACCCCAGCCATACCTCTGCCTCTGGCAGGTGGCCCCTGCTCCTGCTCAGAGCTGGCTCCTGTCCACTGTCCCAGAACGAGCCCCACCACCAGCCCTTCCTGCCCTGGGCGCCTGGCCCAAGGCCTGACACCTGATCCTGGTGGAGTTATGGGCAGTGTGGCACAGCAGGGGCCATCGGGCAGCCTTGGGGGCAGAGAGAAGGGTCAGGGGGCCCTGAGTAAGGGACTTTGGCCACAGGAGCCTGGTCCTCAGAGTCTGGCTCTTCCCCTGGACATTTGATGGCACTTCAAATAGTTTGTGGAAAAACAGAATTAAGGACCAGCTGGTGGCATGGAGGTTAAGGCAACTGGAACCCACATGGTCACCTCTGTGGCCAGACCTAGCAGCTTGGAAAACACACTGGGTGCATGTGCATGCATGGAGGAGAAGGGATTGCAGCGTGGCCATTCCCCCGCCCTGTGGGGTGCTTTCTCACTTTCCTTATCTTTTTCTGTCTCTTTCTTACTCTCTGGTGAGTACGTGCACCCTATAGCAAATTGGAAAAGAAAGGGAAAAGTGGAGTTAAAGTACAATGTTTTTCTGGCACAAAAAACTGAAGCCCGTGCAGTTTCCAAAGCACGCGTGCTCCATGAACCTGTTGCAGGCCCGCATACACGCACCTCCGCAGGGCCAGAGCAAGGCCTCCCCTTCTGCCTCTGCTCCCCCTCGCTGAGGGCTCTGACATGGGGTGGCTTGGGGTCTCAGGACCCCCTGTGAGACCCAAAGCTGAAAGTGGCTCCAGGCTGGAGGCTTTGCCAAGTTCTGGGTCCACCCTCTCCTGTCGGGCCAAAGGATAGGAGGGCCTGCAGGGGCTTGGTCACCACCTATCTGACTCCTTTTTGTTCCTGGCTACAGGCCAGAGACAGGGTGAGTGGACATCTCCAGGGGATGGCCATACTGTAACCCCTCTCTATTCTCCTCCTGGGCCCCAGGTATGCACACACGTGTGCCTGGACTGTTTTCAAGACACTGGGCCTGGAACTTGACTGCACAGCCGGCCATGTGGGATATAGTGCCTTAGTCGACACGCAGCCTGCTGGCCCCTGGTCCGACCCCTCTGGAGCCTGTGTGACCCGGAGGCTGCAGAGCCAGTGCTGGGCTGGCCCTCCCCCAGGCCCTCCCAGCTGCGCTGAGCACAGGTTTCAGTGCTAGGGCGCTCACCTGGGGCCTGCTGGGACCTCCATCCTCCTTGCCCCCGCAGGGAGCCCGCTGGTCCCCGAGGCTCACAGCCCTGGCTTCCATGGGGCCAGCTTCATTGGGGGCGTGGTGCTGGTGTTGAGCCTGCAGACTGCCGCCTTCCTCACGCTGCGCTTCCTCAGGGCGAAGGACAGCACCTACCAGACGCTGTGAGTTGCTAGCCTAGCCATAGGCCGCTCACTCCCACCCCAGCCCCTTGCCACAGCACCCCAAAGACAGTGAACTCGCCCAGTCCCGGGGAGCCCCATTTTCTCTCTTCCAGCTGGGGCTGGGGCAGGGGCTCAGCCCAGGCCTGGTGTCTGGACCCCAGCTAAGCCCACCCGTGTCTTCGTCCCCTCACGCTGGCCACAGGGAGGAGAGCCAGTAGGTGACGGCGCCTTGGGCAGCAGCTCTATGGCCGTGTGGTTTGGTGCTCCTCCCTGGCGTGCTGACCCGTGTGTGCAAGCTGGGGTGGGAGCCTCGCACCTGCTGCCTGCTCACCGGAGGTGGGTCCTTGACCAGCAGAAGTGGGGCCACCTCCCAGGATCCTCTCTGGCCTCTGTAGGGCCTGACCGCAGGGAGGCTGGAGCTGCCCCTTGTGGGCCCTGGGGTGGGAAAACTTTGGCCACTTTCTGACCTCCGTGGGTACTGAACCCGAAGCCTGACACCCCTTCTGTCTGGGACCTGGCCCTCAGCTGACTGTCTCTCTATCACATCACGTCTCATCCTTTCTCTCGGCTGGTTCTGCTCACCCCTCCAGCCCAGCTGGTTCTGTCCCTAATAAAGGCCCCCCCAGCAGCCTGCTCCATGCCTGTGTCCTGGGTCGTGTGCCGAGAGGGGCAAAGGGGCCACTCCTCTCTGTGATGGAGACCGGCTGGGATTGCACCCTCCTCTTGCAGAACGTGGAGATAGCTCGTCTGGCTGACCCAGAGCTAGCAGGACTCCCCTCCAGGCTCTGGCGTGCCCAGAGCTGTGTCTGAGCAGCACCAAGGTAGAGAGCCCTCTGGGACTCTCAGGAAACCATGGCTGCCCCTCACTCAGGCCCCCAGAAGCCTCTGACCCACCTTGGCAAGAAGGCCTCCCCTCCTGAGCTCACGTCAGGCTCCTCGCCCACGGAATCCCACCCTGTGCCAGGGCAGGCTGGTTCCCCAGGTCACCTGCTCCCTGTCCCCACAGGCCACCCTTCCCTGCTGTCTCCCCAGCACAATTTATTTTCCTTGTCTTTTTTAAAATTTCTGTGAGTGAGAGACCATCCCAGCCATGATCTTGACAGTCCAATCTACCCCAGCCCCAGCCAGCCTTGACTTGGCAAGTGTGTGCCTAGTGGACTCAGGGAGGCCTTCAGACTTTAAGCAGGAACCTTTCTACTTGGAATTGCTGAGGATTGCCCCTAAGCCTCTGTCTGGCCCCCTTATCCTTTTTTATTTATTTATTTATTTTTTAGGTTTCTGCCATAGGGTATGTGCACTCACTGGAAAGAGACAGAGACAGTGAGAGAGAAAGTGAGAAATCTCCCCAGGAGGCTTGGCCATGCCATGGTCCCTTCTCCATTCTCTTCCTGGGATTTTAGGCACACATGCACAAGTGCCTGGTGTGATTTTTTTTTAAAAAGAATTATTTTATTTAACTTTATTCATTTATTTGATTTTAATTTTACCAGAGAGTGAGAAAGCAAGCTGCCGGGTCCGGGACTTGGTCCCTCTCTCTTACCCTCTGCCACCTCCTGTTCTCCTCCCACACTTTCTCTGTTATCTATGTTTGCTTTCTATACCATTTTCCCCCCACATTTTATTGAATCACCAAAGACCCTCATCAATCCAAATACCCTCCTAGCAAACACATGTGACACATTTCCATGAGCACAAGTCTAACTTTACGCATCCTATCAAGTAGCACCTAACTGGGGCTACATATCCTACTGCAGTCATTGAATAGATATATTTTGTTTTCCTGAAACTCTTTTTTGTAACTCAATTTACATTCCTTCTCTAGGCATCATCACAGCACACAAAATGCGATCTCCCATCCAGTACACACTGCATAGTGACTCAATCATGCACATTACAAAAAATATAAATTTCCACTTCTAGTTGCTAGAATTAATTCCACCCCTCTTTCTGACCCTCTGTCCCTTCCCACCCTCCTCTCACACCACCTCTAGTGTCCAAAATTGTCCTCCATTCCCTTCCCACCCACATTGCATTGATCACACAATTTCCTACATAACCTGACTACTTTCAAAGGTGAGTTCCCTCGTTACTACTAAGAAAACCAGTTTTAACTTAAATCAAAGAACCGCCAAGGAACTTTGCTTAAAGCCCGGAAACAGGTTAGGATTCTGTTCAAATGGTAGGTGCATGAACCTATCAGTCTCATATACTTTTATCTTCTGTTCTGGTTCAATTTTCCTGATTAAATTCTGGGATATAGTATTCAACTCCAGACTTGTCCCTATGATTAAGTTAGCTACTTTCTCAGTTTTTGGACTCTTATTTCCATGTATCTGCGTTTAGTTTTCCTGATACAGCACATCCTTGAGAACTTCTTGGAGATCTGGTCTGGTGCTGGTAAATTCTTTCAGGTTTTGTTTATCTGAGAATGTTCTTGTCTTTTCTTCCCACATGAAAGATAATCTTGCCGGGTACAGTATTCTTGGCTGAAATTGCTTCTCTCTTAACACTTGGAATATATTTTCCCATTCTCTCCTCACTGACATTGTTTCCGATGAGAGATCTGCTGTTAGCCTGATGGGATGTCCTTTGTAGGTAACTTGCCGTTCTCTCTCGTCAATCTTAGTATCTTGTCTTTGTCTGTGGTTTTGGTCAACCTGGCTATAATGTGTCTTGGAGAAGATCTTGGGTTGATTCTATTTGGGGTCCTTTGTATTTCTTGCAACTGGATCTTTTCTGTATGATCCAGTCTGCTTTTAATACTTTCAAGGGAGATTTTGACTTCCTGTCCCCTGAAATGACTAGTTTGCAGGAGCCATGAGGAATCTTCTTCTGAAGGAAGGCCTCAACTCTCCTGCCATGCTAGCTTTGTTTGCTGGAGGCTAAATTATCAGTAGAAAATCTTCATTTTTCCTGTCCCCTGAAATGACTAGTTTGCAGAAGAGGAATCCTCTTCTCTCCCCGGTGTGATTTTTAGGTCTGCAGTTCGGAGACTTGAACTGCAGTCGGCTATGTGGGAGTCCAGTGCCTTAGCCACCCTGCCTGCTGGCAGCAAACCTCCTTCTCTATTGCATGTCTTTTTCTTTCAAAAGTAGTAGATGCCTGTGGGGGAAGAAGGACTATACGAAAGTTTATTTTAGCATGTGCTATAGGGTGTGCACTCACCAAAGTAAGAGAGGCAGGGAAAGCGAGAGAGCACCCCTGGGGGGATGGCTGTGCTGCAGGCCCTTCGTGCCCCAGCATTTGGGGCACACATGAACACGTGCCCAGCATTTCTCAAGCTGCCAGGTCTGGGGTTCAACTCATGCAGCTGGTCATGTGGGATCTAGCCAGCTACTATAGCCAGAGTTGGCCTTACCGGAGTTCGTAGGAGGAGAGTCACGCTTCCCTGACCCACCCCAGAAGCAGCATACTTAACAGTGTGTCTCCCTGTGAGTTTAAAACGTGTGCACACCCAGCACTTTAAAAATGAAATACCAGGTGAGTGAAGCCAGTAGATGCTGTAGTGTTACATTGCTGGACTCCCATATGGCCAACTGTGGTTTGAGTCCCTGACCTAGTGGCTTAAAACTTACACCAGATGTGTGTGCATGTGTGCCCAAGACCCCAGGAGGAGAGTGGACATTTCTCACTTCCCTCTCTCTCCCCCACTGTTGAGCACACTACCCCGTTGACAAAAACAAACAGAGCAGCATGGATGACGGAACACCAAGTGGGCCACGCGCACTGCTCCGAGCCTGTCACAGACCAGGCTGCCCACTGATGTGTCCAGGTGGCCACCGCTTCCCTGGTGCTGTCGGGGCTGGTCCCCATTCTGAACTGTCCCATGGGCTGCACTGGGCCTCGCACACCTCTGGGATCCCGTCCCCTCTGGAAGCCAGACTGTCTTACCTCAGCTCTTTGCAGCCTTCCGCTTCCTGTTCCCCAGGTGGCCCTGCTTCCTCCCTTCCAAGTGGGCTCTGAGGGGCCCTCAGGGAGGGCTGCTGGGTGGGTAATGAGTGCTCTCTCCCCATCTCTCATGCCTCAAGGCCTCTCTCCTCATCCCTGCATCATGCTGCCTGTCCTCAATGGCCTCTGGGTCCCCTAAACAGGCTGCCCACTCAAGTCTACACCCACAGCTGGTCCTGGGCCCTGGGCACTCATGCTTGGCATGAAGTCACCCCGCAAGGGAGCTTCTCTCTGCTGGCAGTGTGGGGGGGCAAGAGCAAGAATGAGGGAAATCGAGGCAGCCCCCGGGGTGGGCACACCACGGTCTCCTCCATTCTCCTCTCAGCGTTTCAGGCATGTGCACACACGTGCCTGTCGTGGTTCTCAAGCTGCTGAGTTGGCCATGTGGGCTCTAGCTGCCCCGGCCACCATGCCACGGGCTGGTCCCGGATGACACAGACAGCCACAGGCAGAGCTCACTTGAAGGAGTGACAGGCCCCAACCTAAGTGGGGCTGGACCCTCGTCACAGCCCAGCACCCTCAGCTGCCACGGTGCTGCCCCACGACCTGCACTCGGCCTGAGCCCTACTGCGTGCCCACCCCTCTGCCTGTGTGGGTTTTCCAGAGGCCACAGGACTCTGCTTTCCTCGCTCGGCTCTAGGCCCTCCTACAGGCAGGGAGGGGGATTTGCACCAGCTTATTCTCCAGGGTGAGGTCCGGGGCCTGAGGGTGCTGTCTGCCACCTCAAAGCTCCTCCATAGGGTCTGTGGGTCCCCCCATCCCACCTCACCCTTTCCCAGGTGCCTGGGAGCTGAAAGTAGAGTTGGATGATTTTTTAAAAATTATTTTATTTTATTTATTATTATTTAATTTCCTATGGGCACATGTGCTCACCAGAAAGAGAAAGTGAGAAAGCAAGCCGCTAGGTCCGGGACTTGAAACACAGCTGACCACGTGGGAGTCCAGTGCCTCAACCACCACGCCACTTGCCGGCCCAGAGCTGAAAGATTTCGAAGGCAACCAGCCTTTGCCCACTGCGAGACTTTCAGCAGCCAGGTCTGGGCAGAACAATGGTGGCCTTTAAAGATGAGCAAAGGCAGCTTCTCACGACTTGTGCAGTGCTGCAGGCCAGAGCAGGCTGGGGAGACCAGGGGTGGTGAGAACTGCGAGGCACAGGGTGCCCGCGCCGCTCACACCGCACGTGTGCTAAGGCCCCAGCTTTGGAGCCTGTACCCACCACCTTTTGTTCTGTAAAAGATTAAACCTGGGGGCGGCTCTGGTCCATGGCGGCCTCAGAGACGCCCGGACCACCGATGCCCGCTTGACTCTACTCCTGGATCTGCGAGTCCTCTCTTGCCACCTGCTCCCCTCGCCTTGGCCTTCAGGGCGGTGAGCACTGCTGGCTGGAGCTGGGCAAGTCCTTGGGGGGTGCTGCAGGCGCCATCCTGAGGAGGTTCAGGGAGGGAGGCCGGGCACTCCCCTGGTGCTGCTGGTGCTTCCGCGGCAGCCCCTTTCCTCACCTGAAACCGGCCAGGCCACGAAGCGGGAGTGCGGGAGCCATGAGGGCGGGCTCCAGAAGCAGGCTGACTGCCCTGGAGTTCGGCTGTCACTCACGAACTGCATCGACACGCCCTTTCCTCTTCAGAGCCTCAGTTTCCTTCCCTGTAAAATGGGCGGGGAGCGGCGTGGCCCCCGTGGGAAGCTCTGTGCAGTACTGGCATTCTCTGCTGTGGGACAGGAGGCAGGCAACTTCTTTCAGAGAACTGGCATCTGAGAGAGGGCCGTGGTCATGGGAGGTGCCAGGGGACCCCTTTCCTGCCCAGGTACCCATGCATGTCCCCTGCTCCCCAGGCTGCTGCTGGTGAGAGATGAGAGGGGACACAGGAGCCGAGGGAGTGGGGGCTTCTGCAGGGGAGAGATGGTGGCTTTGGCCAGGCAGCCTGGGTTCAAGTCCCCCGCCACTGAGCCTAGCTGAGGGAAAGCCCCGGTCCCCTGGAGCTGCTTCTCCCCACAGGCCTGGTGACACCCTTCTGCAGTTGCTCTGGGGCCTGTGAGATGCCATCTCCAAGGCCATCCTGCGCCTCCCCCTCCCACCAGGACACTCCTGAGCTTCCTCAGCAAGAAGCCCTTTCCCACCTTCCACCCACCGTGATTCCAGCTGGGGCACTGGCTGGACTGCTGGCAGTGCCTGGCAGTACGGGGCGCCGTGGTCCAATCTCTGTGGGCGCTATGCCGTGGTGTGGGCCGCCCCTACTGCAGGGTTCAAATGAGACTTCACTGGGGACCAGTACCCTAACTCTCCTGACAGCTTCCAGACCCTGTACCTCCCTGCTGCCAACTTCTTTGCGTCCCTGTCCACTTTTACAAATAAAAGTTTAACCCTTTCCTGGCTTTCAGGACTCTTCCAGTTCCCGGGGAAAACCCTGGAAAACAGGGAAGGGGCACAAGCCTCAGCTTCACTGTTGGGGAGAAGGAGGGGAGCCCCACCACACAGGGAGCATATGTGGGAGGGAGAAGCACCTGTGGAGGGAAGGGTGCAGCTTCCACTCACCGGCCGGGCCCTGGTCTGGCTGTGAACTTTTGGGGCGGGAGGGCAGAGCTTTCTCTCTCTCTCTCTCCATGTCACTTTGCTATAGGGCACATGCGCTTGCCAGAAAGAGAGATAGAAAGTGAGGAATCACCCCCCACCCTCAGAGGGGATGGCCATGCCACAATCCCTTCTCCTCCATTCTCCTCTTGGGATCTTGGGCACACACGCACACGCGCCCGGAGTGAGTTTAAGCCACCAGGTCTGGGACTCGAGCCGCAGTTGGTTACATGGGAGTCCAGCAACATAGCCATTACGCCAACTGCTGGTCCCCATGGAAGATGTTTTATACCCCAGCCTCTGCTGTAGGCCAATCTTCACCCACCAGCACCCCCCCCCCCCCAGGCTGATTTGAACTCAGGGTCAACGGAACGAAGCTATCATACATTTTCTTCCATGAGGAGTCAGGTCCAGGGCTGTGGAGTACCTTCATACCCGCTCTGCCATGGAGGTGGGCGGCTCTGCAGTTTCTCAACCTCTCCAAGCCGTGGGTTCTAGGGCCCAGAGGTTTAGACCACTGTCACCGTCCATCACTAATTCAAATCGGAAAGTTCAGGATTCTTGGGGATTTGAAGCTAGGAAGCTGCTGTAAGCCCAAGGCGCTCCTTGGAGGGTGGGAAGGGCACTTTTAGGGGCCCGGGGTCGCGTTCTGGGAGGGCAGGGCACTGGCCAGAGGCCCAGGTGGGGCCAGTCTGGCTCTGGGGCTGAAGGCCATCGGGCCACCCTCTGCCTCCTGCCAGCACCGCGGCCCTGCGCACCGTCTCCGGACGCCGTTCTTCCCTTCAGACTCCCCTTCCCACCCCTAGCCTGGGCACACACCCTGTGGGCGCTGTCGCCAGCGTTCCCTGGCTCAGGGTCGGGAGGCAGAGGCGCAGGCTGCTCCGGAAAGGGCCCGACTCAGAGCTCCTGGCGGGAGAGGCCGGGCCGGGCGAGGGCGCGGGGCTGCCCGGGGCCGAGGGTGGGGCTTTTGCGGGCGGCGGGGAGAGGGCTGGGCCCAGCCTACAGGGGAGGGCAGGCCGGAGCATTCCCGAGGAGTCGGGGGCGGACCGGCCCGACCATACCGAGGACCCTCAGCGTGGGACATCGGATGCCCAGACTCCCGGACCCGGTCTCAGGCTTCGGATCCTCTGGACCCTGCACGTCCGAGCTCGGATTTCCCTGAACTCCAAATTCCCGGAAGGGGGCGTCCCGTAGGACTCCGGGTCCCCAGGCCCCTTGGGAGTTCTCCAGCCCAACTGGATTCCGGATCCCCGGGTCCCTAGACCGCCGCCCAGGCTCCTGCGCGGTCCGGGCGTCCGAGGGCGTCCGCATGGCAGGGCTGGGC